TAATTACGCTGCATCTGCTAATTACGCTCTGTATATGTGCTATATCTAATAATTACTGTATATTAATATTTGCTTATATAATCTAATTTAAATGAAATATCGACAATCCTTTTTTAGATCGTGACAGCAGATATAATTTTATCTTGTTTTTATTTAGAAAGTATCATAATTTAAAACTTATTAAATATAAAAAGACTTTAACAGAACATATTTATACTTGAAGTTCTTAATTAATGATTATAATTAATTATCATATTTATTTAATTTGGTCTAAATGTGTAAGCACAATGCTGTAATTTGTTGTAACTATAATGAATTGTAGCATTTTTTAATGTAATTTATTATAATTATAACAAATTATAATATTGTGCTCACATTTCTAGCTTGGTTAAAAAAAATCTAGCAAATAATTTGTTTTAAAATTATAGTAATTTTATGTATTATGAGTTTTTATAAATTAAAATTTCATATAATCATAAAGTAACTTCAAATATATTTTAATTTTTTACTTAAAACCAAATAGTAAAGTTACTATACAAATTATCAAACAACAAGTTTATGTTTATACTTAATAAATTATATAAGAAATTTTATAGAATTTGCAGCTTTAGCTATAAAGGTATATATAAATTAGACTAAAATTAATACAGTAAAGTGCAGGTTTATAGATAAGCACTTTGTTCATAATAATTTGCTTGTTTAAAAAAAAAATCCATAACTATGTCAGAATTATTAATGCTATATACTTTAGTACAATTAAGCTAAATTACTAAGATTTGATATTAATTTAGAGTAGTACTAATAGTATTACTACTCTTTATTTTTTATTAGAGCAGCTTACAAAGGAAAATTTATATTTGAAAATTTACTAACAGATACAGTTAGAACATTAACATTAGCTAATCTTTAAACCATATTTGCACATAATGAAAAACAAGCATTATTTACAAAATAATTATTTTTTTTACTTTATAAAAATTTTAAAAGAACTTGAAAACCTAATAACAACCTTATCTGAAAAAAGTATAAAGTATTAGTAATTATTACAGTATTTATATATAGAATAAATAAAAAAATAATACTTAGCATTAATTTAGTAATATAGTTTCAGTATACAGTATTTAGTAAATAAATGAATTATATAACAATAAATAAATAATAAATAAATAAAATTAAATTAGGTTAAATAAAAAAAAACTAAAAAAATTTAAAAAAAATTTGATTTTGATTAAAGTTATTTAAGCTATTATATGCTATATATTAATATTATAAATTTGATTACATGATTTACATTAAGTATATAGTATATAATAGCTTGAATGACTTTAATTTAAGTCAAATTTCTTTTAAATTTTTTGATTTTTTTTTTAGTTTATTTTTTTTATTTAATGTTAATTTATTTTTTTTATTTAATATTAATTTTTTTTTTTTATTTAATGTTAATTTATTTTTTTTTTAATAATAATTTATTTTTTTATTTAATGATAATTAAATTTTATTTATTTATTTACCTATATCATTTATTTATTTACCAGATATACTGATATATAAAATAATTATTGAAGCAAACTAAACTCATAGTTTATATATATTTTTGGCTCAGAATTTAACAAGCTTATCGCTAATCTAATCTAACTTTTGCATAACCTATGGCAGCTAAGTTGAAATAGATGAGTTAGATTTGACTAGTAGGTTTTTGTCTATAGGTAAGTACTGGCTTTCTCTTAAGTCTTTTCTTGAATCTGTTCTTATACTAACTTTTGTCTTCTTTTTTTATATCTCAATCTGAAATTGCATTATATTGAATTAGGATTAGATTTTTTCTTTTATATTACTATAATTGGTCTTTTAGTTACATGGCTATAGTAAGTAATCAATTGCAGTATTGGTTAATTTTGGGTAAACAGGTAATATTAGTAATAAGATTAATAATAGTTATTAGTTAGCACTTTTACTTTTATTATAAAATATTTTAAAAACTGTTATTATAATAGTTTTTGGCTGTAATAAATAATACATTTATTGAGTATATAAATTTTTAGTGCTCAATATATTTTATCATATAATATTTGAAACTTTTTAGCAACAAATTTACTTTAGTTTATAGAGAATAAAGACAAATATATAATTAAATAAATGTTACCAAATAAACTATAATAAATAAAAAGAAAAAAAATATAAAAATATTCAATTAAAAATTATATATAAGATCAAAAAATATATGTTAATGAATTAAATATTTTTTTAATAATTATATTATATAATAATCATAATGATAACTGATAAAATTATATCATAATATTACAAATTTAATAGTAAGCTTTAACCTTAATTATCTTAGCTTTTAGTAATTAAATCAAATTATTTTTTTTTTATATAAAAGTAAAATTTTTTCTTTACAAAACTAAAAAAAATATTATAACAAATTTATTATTAGTTGCTGCAATAATTAAGATATACAATAACTAATAAAATTTAACATATTATAATAAATTATTTGAATTATCTCTGCAACTAGTAATTAAATTTTAATAATTTTTTTATAATTTATAGAGAAAATATATATCTATTAAATAAAAAAAATTTATTTGTTTTAGACTAATAATTATTGAGAAAATTAGTTTAAAAGATAAATTATAAAATTTTTTTTTTGTTAAATTTTTAGTTAACTATTAATTAAAATTGTATAAAACTTATATAGTAGATATAGAAAAACTTTGTTTATAAAATTGTAAAATATTATTGAAATTAGATTGATAGTTATTGAAATATTTGTACAGAAACATAAACATTTACTAAATTTATCAAAATCTTAAAAGCAAAGTTAAATAACTTACTAATTATGCAAATATATGATCTAAAAATGATATGATATAATTATTAAAAGATAAGGTTTTATATAGTCAAGTTAAGATTATAGGTTAATTAGTAAGTTTTTGAGTTATAAGCTAAGTTCTTATGTGTAGAAATATTTTTGTCATCCTATATAGTTATATTATATTTATACTACTATATTATTTTTAGTTATAAAAATAATTCAATATCTGAGATATATCTAAATATACTAAATTAAGCAATAGTTATATTTATATAAAAATTTATAATAAAAAGTCAAAGATCTACTAACTTTTAAATTTTATAACATTTGTAATAAACTGAATTTGTTTTAAATTAAATAGATTTTATACAAAAAGCATATATTATATAATAGTATAACATTACTAAAATTAATATAATTTTCTAAATAAAATCAAAATTGTTCTAAGTATATATAAAATAAAGAGTATTGCTAAACATCACTGCAGGTGACCATCATCACAGATAACCATCACCACAGGTGATTATCACCACAAATAACTTTATCATAGATAGATGTTACATGAATATTACAATATTCCAAGGCAGATCATATAATTTATATTCAAAAATTGAACTACCTCAGGATCATCAACAAATTACTAGTAACTATAATAAAATTTTCATGATTATATAATAATATATGAAAAATTAGCTAATAAAGAATCTTGACTCAGTGTAATGTTCCACAATTAAAATAAATGTACATTTAAAAAAAAGTACCTTTATCTTAAGAATTCGCTTAAGAAACAACTTTTTATGCATTAACAACAAAATTTCTCGAGTAATTTTACTATATGCTTCTCAATATACGGTTTTAGTTTAAATGCTAACCCTAACATAAACGAACTTAACAATTTTATTAACTATCACATAATCACGAAAATTTTGTTGGCGATGCTGAAGAAGATCTAGGATCCAAAAATTGAGAACTAAAGTTATGCTATGTGCAGTTAGTTATTTTTTTGATATAGTAGCATATAGATCATATATTAAACATGTACAACTATGAGCTCAAGAAATTATACTTTTACTATTGCTATTATATTTTTACATATTAATAAGCATCATACAATAATTTTTAGAATGTAACTATCAAATTATATAACCTGATATGCTTTTGGTATTTCAATTAGTTATACAAATAAGCTTAAATAAAATCTAAAATTTTATTATGTTTATAAAGCAGTTTTATTCTAGTATGATCTATATAACAAGTGTTATTAATTTATAACTCAGATTCCAAATAATATCATGTTTGTAAAGAGATGATCAAGTGACTAACCATATAAAGCTGTTCAAAAGGCTGTTTAGATAAAATTTGAATTAAGTCACTATAAGAACTTAATGTTGCAATTAAGGATAATTTAAAGCCAGATAAGATTTTATTACATCACATACTTCTAATTAATTGATCAATTAATAATTACAACCACCCAGTATTAGACAACCTCTAAAATGTTATTATTACTGATTTATATAATCAGTAAAAGCTTAAGTATAAGTTATATTTAGTATGTTACAATGGATTAATAATCAAATAAACTACAGAGAAAAAAAGAATAAAAGTCAAATTGCATTGAATTTCATTTATTTTTTTAAATTATATTTCGAATAAATTTGGTATTCTATCAACAAAGTATAAAAAAATCATACAAAAAAAGTAGGGTCTGAGATTATAATAATGAATTTCATTCTTAACTGCTTAATTTTTCTTTTTTGCTTTCACAAATATTAAAATTTTATAATGCATAGCATCGATCTATCTATATATGGTTAATTTACAAATGCAAATCCATACAAATACATATGAAGTAAGTTTATATAGCAGTTACTGCAGTCAATCCAATAATACCATTTACTGAGAAAAAGTTGTTTAATCTTAAAAATGAAGTGAAGTGCTTGTAAAATTTTCTTCTTAGAGGTTTATGCCTTTGAAGAAAAAGAGAAGGAAGATGTTAATAACTTACAAAAAGAATTTAAAAAGAAAATTAATGCATATGTGAATTCTGATATTAATACAAATGCAGGTGCTTATATGAACATAGACTTGGATGCTTATATAGAAGTAAATGCTTATATAGAGGTAGATGCTGATATGGATGTGAATGCTGATATGAACATGGATGCTAATATGGATGTGTATACAGATTTGAGAATAGATGCAGATATGAATACAGATACAGATGACAAAAGCATAGATAATAATGAAATATTTAGCTTTAAAAAAGGTTTTTTTTTTTTTTTTTTTACATAACTAATTATTTTATGTTACTTTGTCTAAATATTGGTTTTCTTATTAGACAATACTTTTGTTGATTGGGATTTAGCTATAGAGCATATCGAAAAGCATAGTATAGAAAATGGATTTGAAGTTGTAAAATATCGACTTCAAAAAAATAAAAGAAATGAAGTTGTTCATCATACTTTTGAATGCAAAAAGTCTCACAAATACCATCCCTAAAAAAAAGCTGACACAGAAGATAATCGTGAATGTGAGAGCGTGAAAATAAACTGCCTATGGAAGGTTAATCTTTATCTTTCTGAGAGTATTATATGTGTTACATCAATATGTAAAGATCACAACCATCCACTAGCCAAAAACATACAAAATATAGGATTAAAGTTTTAACGTCTTAGTTCTGAAATGCTAGAGGAGATTAAATTTCTTACAAATATTGGTTGTGGCATGGGTCTGATTATCTGTGAACTTCAAGAATGCTTTCCTGATGCTGTAATTCGTCCAAAGAATGTGTACAATGCAATTTGTCATTTATGACATAGCAAAGATCTAATAAAGACTAATGCAGCTATAACATATGAGAAATTAATGCAACTACAATATGAAGAACATGGGTGGTTCATTGATGCGAGGTTAGAGGGAAAAGACAATCATCTTACTGGCTTATTTTGGATGTGACCATTACAAATTGATTTATGAAGAAGGTTTTATGATGTTGTAATCAATAATAATATAGCTCAAACTAATAGGTTATTGTTGTACATTTTGATGTCTATGGTCTTTTTTAATCTGTTTTTGTCCATGTTTATGATCGTTCATATATATTTACACCTTAATGGTTTAAAAAATTCACTTAATTATATGTAAATTAGAGTTTAATTTTTTTTAACCCACTCTAATGACATTATTTTTTTATTTTTTTTTTTTTTGCTCTTAAGCAGTCATGCTAGTACTTTATTAAGATTCTTGCAAATATATACAATAACTACATAGAATTTTCCTAATAACTAAGTCCAGCATCATCCGGCCATCTTATTGGTATCTAAGTGTGACCTGCTACACTACCTCAGTTAGAGGCAGACTGCTTATTTGGCTACTTAAAGCCATACCAGAAAGGATTCCTTCTTTCTAGGACAAGCATTAACTGTTTTCAATCCTTCCTTTAAATTCTTCCTTCTTCTTAAAGAGCCAAAAAAAGAGAAATATTATAAAAATGAGTACAAATAAGAACATGACTAAAAAAACCAAAAGTAAACAAACAAAACCCAAATCAAAACAA